CCCAGCCACTGCCACAGCTGCTGCTCTTTGGGCAGGCTCAGCTCAGAGAAGAACAGCAACCTAGTGAGAGTAGACAAACAGGCAGGCTAACTCTTCTCTGCCTGCCCCCCCCTTGGGCAGATGCAAAGGCAGTCACAAATAAGTGACTGGAGTGGAGTGGAGGAGTCCTGGGGGTGCAGGGAGAGCCCCAGCAACGGGGCAGGGGAAACTGGGGGAGCCTCAGGAGGGGCAGGGGCAGGGGCAGGGGTAGTGAAGGCAGCAGCTCTCCTCTGTGGGCTGCACAGGTGGGGGGAAGAGCTTGCATGCAGCTGCTATGTGCAAGGCGATTTCTGTTACTGTGGGCTCTGAGGAACTCTGCTCATTAGCAGATTCAGAGCTAGAATAGGTAACAGCAAGATGTGCAGGGGTCAGACAGGGTGATCTGCGTGGCTCCTGGCCCTATAGCTTTGATAGGCTCCAACTCTTGGTGGCATTTCTGAAATTACTAGTGGTAAAATGCATTGTTCTGAGGGGGGTGCGAAATATGCCTTTGAACAAAAGGATGTGAAAGAAAACCCCAAACACTCTTGCACCAATGCCTGCATTGTTCATTGTACTTCATGACCATCGGCAGAACTTCCCACTGGCCAGCACGAGAATCCAGCTGTTGTCTGAGATAAGAAATTACTGCACAGCTGTGTTGACAACTGCTTTTCAATAAAGATCAGATGTGAAGCCTGCCTTTCTTGGAGGGTGGTATTAGTTCTCCCCACCCCTGTTCCTTACCAAGCCTGGAATTTGGCACGAGAGTACGAGAGCAGCAGCATCCTTTAATAACTGTTTCTGATCCTGCACTTCCTCTTTGCTGGATTCAGGGAAACGAACTCCTAGGAGGGAAATTGAAGATCTGAATAAGAGATGGACCTGGCACAGGGGTGCAGTTAATTCAGAGAATATATGCAATATGAGCAAGCAGAAAGAAACCCAAGCAACTGTGCCCTTTCCCACTTTGAGGATGCCCCTTCAGATCTACTTCTCTTGCAGAGCACTCAGCAGCCCGCCTTTGCTAGAAGCTGCGCTGTTCTGTCCTGTACCCACTCTTCTACATTGCAAACCTTGAAGGCTGGGCCCTATTCTTTCTCTGCATAAACAGGCAAGATTTGCAAGTGCTTAGAATACCTAGTCAGCAAGCCAGGGTATTCGTCAGATGGACTGACTGCTCTGCATGCCCCGAGAGCTCTCAAAACCCTTTCTACCAACAGATCCAGGTTAAAATAAACTGCCTTCAAAGCTGCCATATCAGCAAAGTCAAAGTGCTGTCTCCCCCAGAGCTTTCAGCAGGTGCCTGCATATCACAACTGAGGACTGTTCCTATATCAACTGACAAGGTTGAATCCAGGTCCTCCGAGTCAGTGGGAACAGCACTCTTGCTCCCCTGCGAAGGCATTTCCAGGGTTGTGCAACACATGCAGCATCAAGGCTCTCATTTGCAAAAGGAACAGACAGGCTCCAAGCAGATCGCGGCCAGCTTTCACTCCTTGTAGGCCAGGCCTAACCCCACCCCCAGCTACGCGTCAGCCCTGGGAACTGTTTACACAGAAAACATGAAGGTATGGCTCCATGTGGTTTTTCCACTTCTTTTCATGTGGTCTAGCAGCTGCAGCGCTGGAGCACCAGGATCAAGTGCCCTGCCAGCACTCTGCAGACCGCTAGCAAGTGTTTTGTGACCAACTGGTGGGAGACTCCTGGCTGCCTGTCCTCAGTGGTTCAGGCACTACAATCAATTACATCTTTTGGAGCAGCTTGGAGAATCATGCATCACGCCCACCCAGCCAGATGGCAGCAGGACTATTTGCTAGCAGACTAACGAATTCTTGAAGACACCTGGCTGCTGGTGGCTCGGCACAGCTATGCTCTACAGCAGCATCCAACCGGTCACTCTGAGCTCATACCTGGCGAGAAGATATCCGGGTTAAATCGAATGTCAAATGACGTGTCGCTAATGGAGCCAACAGCCTTGCACGCATTCCGAATCATCTCTCGGCTTTTGGGATCCACTGGGTAAGGAAGGAGACAGAGATTTTGTCAAGGTGGCAAGAACAGTGCATGGTTGTAGAGGAAGCCAAAGCTGGATGTGGAGGCAAGTTTTCCAGCTGATAACTGAAGTTGCTGCGTCATCTTCAAGAGCCAAACTAGAGAAGCACCTGGCAGTATGACATTTTCTGGGAGCATGGAGAGAGACTGCTGAATTCAATGTTAGAGCATACAGTGCAGAATGAAAGAGGCACTGCAAAAAATCCCAGGGAGTTTCAAGGGATTTTTAAAGGGGCTGCACAACTTCTATTGACTTTAGGTGGGGCCTGACTGCCTCACCCCCAAGCTCTTCTGAGAATCGCAGACTAACCACACAGTAGCCATGGAGAGGACAGTGCAGCTTTAATCGCTTTTTCTATGCAGAGAACCAGAGCAGCTGGCAGACTGCACGGGGCCATAGGTCAGTGCCTCCTACGCTGACAGCTTTGCTCCATGTTAGTATTCAAGGTGCTCACCTACTCCTGTCCCTGGAGAGCTGCGATGGTTAATTTATTAGCGTGCGAACACTACCACATACAAGTCAACATGCGATGGAGACAGGCACGGCATTTTAGTGTGACCAAGGGCGTGGAGATTTGTGCCAAGCCCTCCCCTTGGAAGCCCTCCGCTTGGATTAGTAGCAGCTATGAAGGAAAACCTGCCAATCCTGGTGCAGAGCAGCAAGTACCTGTTCCATCGTCAGAGGCAATGGTCTCCGCCAACTCTTTAACCCTATCTAATCCAGTCACGCTCTCCTCTCTTTTACTATCCTCCGGTTCAGCTTTCTGGCCCTCCTCAGTGCCATTCTCTGGGGTAGCCCCGTTTTCCAGCACGCCGGAGCTCTCGGGTTTGTCTGCCTTCTGCTGCATCAGCTGCAGTGCAGCTAGTTTCATGAATAAGAGATACCTACAGTGAAGGAAAGGAGAGATTGTGCTGAATCAACAGCTCAGGTCTCAGAGCAGCCAGACTCCTAGACTACACAACCATCCCGAAACCTGGCCTTTTGCTTCAGAAGCCAGGATCACAGTGGTTAGAGATGGAGGAGTACAGGCAACCCCCTCCAAAAGACAGCACAGAGTCTGTGGGTAGGTGACATCTCAAAATATTGGAGCAATACTATGCTTGACCTGGGATGCAGGCTGTGCAATCTGATGTGCCAGCCCCAACATCAAGAGATGACACAGTTCTCATTAGGCATCATGTTGGGAAGTGAGCTCTGCAGTGGTCACAGGGCTCTCTAGCACTAGCAGCAGGATGCAGCTTTGGCAGTTTCCTTTATCTGATTCCACATATCAACCATTGCAGGACAAGAAGCCCAGCAGCATCATTTGCACAAGACCCTAGTTAGAGACTGGGGCTCTTGGCTGCTTTCCCCAGGTCAGCGAGTGGAAGTGCCTGCAGCCAAGAGACAGGTTAATCCAGGGAAGCCAGCACCGAGGGGAACCCCTTGATGTCCCTGCCAGTTCAGTAGCTGGGACTTCCCCGACCCTCCTCACCACCCCAAGTCAGCCCTGAGGCAATGAATCAGCATTGCCACCAGGTGACGGCAGGAATACCACAGATCCTGTCTCTCAGACAAATGAGATCTTGATTCTGACCATACATGCATGATAACTGAATACCCTACAGCCTTGTGCATGGCACTTGGAGCATTAACCACTCAGTGGCTCAGTCACATTGCAGTGCAGCCAATTACAGCATTCCTGCAGTTTTTAACAAGATCCGGCATCATCATTAACAATGCAACCGCCACGTTCCACCCTAGAGGTGGTCGCAACGATCTCTGAAGGCACGTGCCTCCCACACAGTACTTCATATTTAAAGCACCAGGAGATCCTTTGAATGGAAACATCATCCTCAGTATGCAGCACGCAGGACATCTTTTAGAAGATCCTTTCTCCAATCTTCTAATAAAGAACTGGAGATTATAAGCAGAACATCTTTCCCCAGCTCCCTATACCCCTGCCAGGCTCCCTACTGTTTCAATCTTTCACTAATTAAGTTTTTATAATTGCATCTGCAAGGCCAGGAGGTGGGAGAGGGGAGGGGGGCGTAGATTTGTGGTACGGTAACGTATGCTCTGCTGCGAGGTGGCTGCCTGCAGGTGTCTGGAACAATACTGCGTGCGCTCTCACCCATGGAAATGCCACCAGGCTGCAGGGGGAGGAAGGGGGGAAGAATCCATTTAGCTCACCTGTGTTCGACAAAGGCATCCACAAGCTCTTGTCTGAGACAGCAAAGCTTGTGTCTGTGCTGCTTGGGAAATCCCATTTTTTTACATTCTTCTGGCATTTCCTCCCCGTCTATGGGAAGAAAGTTCAGGTCAGGGGGGAAGGTGCGGAGCAGGTCGAGGATGTAGTGGCGCCCGTCATTGCCGATGATGCCCTTGCATTCCACCGATGAGCACAGCTCCACCTCCTCGTTCTTGTCGTTCAGGACTTTGTGCTTCTGGATCTTAAGGGGCCTGCTGGTCTTCTCAAGCAGCTCCAGGTACTTGGGGTGCGAAACCACAGTCTTGCCAAAGTCTATTGACCCATATATGACGCTCTGCTCCTGCTCCCGTTCCAAGATCCCTGGAATAATGGACTGTGCCGTTACCCGGTAACCTCGGTAATCCACCACCACAGTCCCCAATGTGTAGAGCCCCTCCACATCCACTGCGCTGTAGGTCCGCACCCCATTGAGGTCATTGGTGGGAGCCACATAGGCAGCAATGTCTCCTCCAAAGTCCTTGTAATGGTCACGGACGTCAAAGCCCAGGCTGAAGAAAATATTGTTCCAAATGAACATCTGCATCTTGGTCTCCTCGCTGGGGTTGATGGCCATGACATTGCCATCAATGACAGCCATGGCTCCCCTCGTAGCTGCTGCGGTGAAGTCGCTATGGACCTGCATGCAAGGGGTGGACCATGAAGGCAAGACAGAGACCTAAGCAAAGACTGCAGACTCCCCATTCCCCACATCCTCCTGGCGCCTGGCCCTTGCCCTGCTGAAAGTCTCCTCATCACTTATCACCCACAGCAGATGATCAAGGCCAACTGGTTTGCCTCAAGAGCTTGGCTAGTATTTTGATACCTTAAGGATCAGCCCCAGTTCCATAGCTGGGCCACTTTGGGATGCTACAGCAGAAAGCAGTCTGAAGTCCTGATCAGGAGCTAATTCCCTTCCTAACCTCTGCGCCTGGCTTGCTATACATCACCCTAACCCTCTTGAAGCACTGTCATGTGACCTACAGCACCACAAGGCTACGAGAAGCCTGCCTCACTGCTGGCCACAGGAGCCAAGCAGGGAGCCAAGGACAAGGAGCACATCTCTCTGCAATCAGCACAGGATGGGAGAGGGGTACAAATACAGATCCCAGCCCTCAGTTTAAAACTGAAAGGAAAGCATCTGTGTTTATGAGGAGTAACCAGGAAGCCTAAGTGAGAAGCTTAGTGCACTGTGCTGGGCTGGTAGAAGAGTGAAGTAGGGTAGGACCTTGGGAGTGCTTTCCAAATCCCTCAATCCCAGGATTACCTTGAAGATGGCTCGTTCCCTTAGCAGCCTCTCTGGCAGGTTTTTGCGGGGCAGCTCTCGTGTGGTCTGCAGTTCCTCATTCCAGTCCCTGGTCTGAAAGAGGGAAATCCTTAAATGAAATCCTGCTTTGGAGAAGGGAAGGGAGCCCACATTTACAGCTCCCAAGCTGGTTCACGGGGGTATTTGCTACTACAGGTTAAAGGGTGAAGTCAGACTTGCACAGCAATCAGTCACTTCAGGCATGAATGATGTTGCTCATTTAAAAACAGCAAGGTGTGACAGATCTTGCACTGACTCGCACAGTTCAAGTCTTGCAGGAACACTGCAAACTACTCAGCTGGCCTAGGAGATTGGATTACATTTACACAGCGGTAGATGACCCCCTGCAGCATTCTTGGACCAAGGAACTGTTCACCTCGAGGCTTTTAGTAGGGTGTTTAGACCTATTTTCCCCATAAAGCTGGCTCATCCTGTAAGGAATTCTGTGCCTACAAGATTGACATTGGTTTAACATTCTGCACAACGAGTTCAATGGAGCTACTCAACGCCGAGCCAGGGTATAAGGTTTCGCAGGACTGAGTCCTCCAGAAGAGAGCCCTGCTTCAAGACCTTTACACACATGGGAAAGTTATGTGAGCAGCAAGACAGTTCTACCAGCTGGAGAAACCATTTGGATGTCAGGGCCCCTAGAATCTTTTCCAGGTTCAACTGAAACACATTGCTTGAGGGACCTCCCAGCTGCATGGCCACATTCATCCTGGACTTTGCATGGATACTGGGGAGGCTGTTATTCACTGGGATAAGATTAAAAACAGTTGTACAAATGGAAAAAACAGTAAAGATACCATTGCTGGCACCACTCCCAAAGTGTAGCTAAATACCTGTCCAGGTATGTGCTCTTCATAGCCCAGCCTTGAAGTATAAGCATCTTCTGCCCTCACACAGTCCATAGCATGTTCTGCCTGTGGTGCTGTCCAGCTGTACACCTGGAAGGGGGTAGCTATCCTTTCAAAGGGATGTCTCTGGACCCTAGTTTGGAGTGAAGGACTATTACAATTCTTTGCAATGAAGGATGTCTTGTATTTAGACAACTTTTCCTGTTCATCCACAACAAAGCTTGCTTTGATTAAGAATCACAGCCCAGCTAGTTCTACCCAAGAAGGGGACACAGCCAGATCTATTGGGAGACAAGCATCTCCCAAGCTATATCTGCATTCACCTGCTCACAGCAGCAGAAGCCTGGAGAAAAAAAAAATCAGCTGGGTTTTGGAGGCATAACATTTTGCCCAAAGAAAGCACTCTAGAGCAGCGTTTCTCAACCTATGGGTCGTGACCCAGAAGTAGGTTGCAAGAATATATGAAACGGTCACAAACAAAACTTTAAAAACGGATTCTCCTTTAAAAAGACATAAATGTGGGTTTTCCCTTGCAGGCTGGCAGAGTGCCCTCATGCCCCCCCTCCCCACACACACACTGTGGGGCTGGGGGAAGCGAGTCAAGAGTGAAGGGCACAGGCAGGGCCAGGGGGACGTTTTCTACTTAAACTATTTACTGGGTCAGGACTGGCGATCAAAGTTTACAAATGGTACAAAAAAGGTTGAGAACCGCTGCTCTAGAGCTCCCCATGTCATGCCAATACCAGCTCCCAGCCACATACAGCCCACGTCAGTTCTGCATGCGAGAGATAGGATTGTGCCTGGGTCCCCGGGGTTGCGTATAGCCATATGGGCTTGGAACCCACATGGCTGCATTATAAGCTACTGGTCTTGTTGCACATCCAGCAATGCAGCAAAAGCCAAGCTTAACCTAACAGCCTTCTGTACAGCTTCACTCCTCTCAGCAGGTGACAAAAATCCCATCTGCACGCATTTCTGGCCCAACAAGCAACAGGATAATCATTTTTTAAATGGCCAGATAGTCACAGTGGTGCATTTCAGGCCACTCCAATTTCCAGCCTTCATATAATGTCACTTTTGCCTACTTAATGAGACCAGAAGCAGGATTCTTGAAAGCCATACGATGCGCCTGTTAATTTATACCCTGCCGAGCCAGGCAGTTTAAGTGGACGCTCCCAAGAATGACAGATTTCGTACAGGACCCGCCATTCTGGAGCAGGACGAGTGGTTCCATGTAGAAAGGGCAGGGGAATAACACTGTCCATGAATGCAATAACAAGAGTTAGAAACAATCTGGGGAAATTTACATGCGTGAAGATTTAAATTGGAACGGGAGTAATTATTTTAAGCAAAGCCACATTACTTTTCTTGATATTGGGCTGTTCAGTTTTTATTTTTTTTGCTTCCGTGCAAGAACACCTGCTGGCAGGATCATCTACTCGTTCACTATTCCCGAGCTCAGCTAGCTTTTCTCCCCCTGCCCCACATTCTCTCTTTGGAGGCACCAATAGTAAAAACCTGGTTCAGGTAACAATCAGCTACAGACCCTCCTGGATAAGTGTCCCATCCTGAGGGCCATTGTATACCAAATCATGCTTCAGCTTCTTTCACAAGCTTCCTTGCAAAGCCAAGCCCTTTTTGGAGTTTGCATCCCACACAGAATATAACATTTCTCTCTCCTCCCCATCTTCATACATAACCGCATATAGATTACTCCTCAGTGCAGCGATCAATGGAGCTACACACTGCAGCTAGCATTGTCTCATAAAGAAAAGTTGTTCCCGTTCTGCCTCCAGCAGCACTTGTTAGTGCTAATTTACATGCTTGAAGCAAGTCTAGTCAAGTTGTCACTGCCAGGAAAACTAAATAAGGAGATTTACCATCTGGATCCCTGGGTTCCCCGAACAGTGACCAACCTTATGCATATGTAAGATTTAACTGCTTGTAAGCCTTTGCTACACAAGTGCCAAAGGTTGCATTAACCTCCACCAAGCATCACCCTGCCATACTAGTTTTGTGAAGTGGAGTGTGTTGCAATCAACACCTGCTTCAAAAGACAGACAGCAGCATCCAAACCCCAGAGTGCAAGCCAAATATCTAACCCATCACATCACTCAAGGCAAGCAGTGAGGGAAAAACACTACTGCTACCGTTTCTTCTGCAGAGTTGAAAAGTTTTTTTTGAAGGTCGGGCTGATCTGGTTAAGCAGCTCTACCAGGGAATGGCTGAGGAAACTGGGGTTGGCAGGCTTGGGATTGAAATTGTACGCTGTTGACCTGCAAAGGAATAGAAAAGAATCTCAATCTTGATGCTATATGTGAAACAGCTGCAGAAAGTCATGAGCTGTGCAAGAATGGAGACCCCATCTTCTCTGTGCGGTCAGATAGGCTGCAAGTGTCCCCTGGAGAGGCACAGACAGTCTCTCCACTCAAGTCACTGTCAACCTCCGTGAACCTGTGCCCCGAGAGAGGGCAGCAAATCCAATCCAGAAGCAGCTGAACCACCATTGGGTTCTGCGGGCCTGTGGTTTCCCTTCAAACTGGGAAGGCAGAGCAAGGATCCCCAGATGTCCAAATGTGTACCAGACCCGAACAGACCTTGCTCCTGCCAGTAATCACAAGGGCTCCACCCTTCCCCATTCAGCACCCAGCAGCTCCTGCTTTCGTTCTCCAAGAAGCTTTCTAAAAAGCCTTACAAGTCTTCTAATGCACCGTCAAGGAATGCTAACAGAAGAGTTGCCCGGACCAGGCAAACGAGATCTCTCCATGGAGATCTATTAAGGCAGCTCTTCTGATCTGCTGGCAGTGTCGCCTGAACTTTGAGAGTTAAATTTACAGCGGACTTTAGTCACCAGAGTTAAGCTATGCACATGCTTCAGTCTTTACTTTGAGCCCCATTGCTGCAGACTGAGGAAGGCTAAGGTCTCTTTCAAGTTATTTCTTCCGTAACCTGGGTTAGGTTGGGTTTCAGTAACTCACTCAAGTTGGAAGGAGGCCCAGATGTATAGTGCTCAACCAATATAACAGAAGTGCTCAACTAGAGAGGTCTCCCGTTTTACCGGTGTGACAGTTCCCATCCCCTGGGAAATAAACCACGTTGATTTGGATTTTCTTAGTCAATGACAGCCTTGCACTCTTCAGCCCACACATTTATGTTGGCCTAGGATATTATCTACCATGGTAAAGGATGAATAAGCAGAGCCTGTACTTGATTCAGTAAACTGATAGATTTTACATGGCTGGTCATGTTGTGCTTTACAGCAGAGTTGGCCATGAGATCAGGCAGGAATTCCTTCCTACTTTCATCACCCCTGCACAACAAGCTGAATATTTGGGGAAGGTGTTTATTCCCAAAGCATCAGGCACTTTAGAAAGACACTAGATGTGGCTGCTCCGGCATAGCAGCTGCTAAGACTTTATATAAACAGGCTACCAATTATGAAGGATGAAGAGGGGGCTCTTGTTCTAGCATGCTTTCTTTTCAATCAGTTAATGCAAACTCTCAATTACTCACTGATTCAAGTAAAAGCCTCTGGTGGATGCTGTGATGCTAACGTGTCGATCCTCCACAGTGATGACGTACAGGTACATGAGGTCTCCGTGCATTTTTCGGTTGCCAGGTGGGGGGTTCCACCCACTCATGGTCAATACCTTTAGGCACTGCAAAGGCTGGAAAAAGCACACCACACGAGAACTTCCACCTGCTGGCTTCTGTTCTGGAAAGCCACCCACACTTCATACTTTCCATGTGCAAGTTCTGTTTGCTCCCCAGCCCATACCCTGGAGGACCAGGGTTTACAAACTCCCAAGCTCTCAAAGCACTGCACACTGTAATGGTTTTTGTCACGCAATGTTCTACAACCTGTCTTTATACTCAATTTGTCTTTAGGCCACATCTATTTCTTGCAGCAGCAAGCTTAAGGGAAGCCCAAGGATAAATAGAAGGGATCTGAAGCTCCTCTGAGAAACTTTGCAAGAAGTAGAAACCAGAAGTTCTCCCTTCTCTCTTGCAGAGTGGGATCGCTACTGCACAGTGCTGACATCCAGCTTGTACAGTTTGCATGCAAAATGCTGGACCTTAAGCTTCCTTCCCTTGGCCCAGCCATGCTATTCAGGCATTGGTCCAGGACTCAGTGGAGCAAATCTCCTAGTAAGCTCACTGCAGTGCAACTTGCAATCGTAGAAGACTGCTGCCTTGCAAGAAGTGTCCTGGCTACCATCTTAAAAAATACACAAGAGAACTCTACCTTCCAGTCTCTGTTCTGGGGCTGGAGAGCACATAGGGGCCTCTCTTTGCTACCTGGCAGGATATGTTCAGGAGGGGTGCAGTCAATTTGTTCCATTTCGGTACCTTTCTTCTTCCGTTTTCCACTGTCTGAAACAGGGACAGACAGGAGATGAGTGCTGGAGGAAGACCACCTTGGCAATACTGAGTACAAAATCCTCTTGATGGAACACTGTTTCCTTGTAGCACCCTCCCGCCCACCACCAAAACCAAACTCAGGTTCTGACTGCTTCTTCAAGCTATAATTTAAACAGCTCCAACTGTGCAACACGCACCTGAATGCTGCACTCTGCCCCCGGCATTACATACGTTAACCACTGGGCTGTGGCTTTCAAAGAGATGTTAAGTGTCTAAACTCCTGCTGAAAGTCACCTATAGAATTTGGCCCCTTAACCCCATGAACACCTGAGCTCAGGTGTTCTCTGCCCAAGAAAGTAACCATTCTGCCCTGTAGGCAAGAAATAATACCTGCCTCACCAATGCACTTCAAGAGCAAGAATACTTTGCTTGAGTTGGGCCAGCTTTACACCCTGGGGCACCAGCAGCAAAACACTTTAAGTCAATAGGAGTAGCTGGAGTCACCTGAGATTCAGGTGATATATGCATGTTCCCAGATACACTGGTGCACCTAATGCTAGGACCTTGTTTGTGATAATCTGCAACACATTTCCCAAAATAAAAGTGAGCAACTAGGCCCCTTTCTGCCACACCTTCATGCAACAGCCTGGCAGAAGCAGTTTTGAACCATGGCCCGAGGAGGTGAGGGGACCTTAGTTTGTAAAGCTTATGTCAGAGATGCACAAACAGATCCACAGGGATTAAATGATCTGTTGAAAGGCACCAAGCAACAATGAATAGAGCCCAGCCCCCCCC